CCACATGAAGAATTCTTTCTTCTGAAATCCTCTTTTTATACCAACGTGTTCCCGAAGTCTAGATAAGATAGATAGTAGTTCCTCTATTACTTCTCATATGCACCCATTTTTGGACTGTAATTGAAGACACCCAAAATGAACTAATATAGCTTTAAATTGCTTTAAAAAATAAGCAAAAGTTCTCATGCAGTTTTCATTCTGTGGATGTTTTTTCTGAAAAAAAGTATATTTTTAAGTCTTAGCTTACAAAATGTAGACAAAGAAATTATCTCTTCATAGATTGATTGAAAAATAGAGTTAGCCTCTCTCAAAAACATTGTCAGAAAATATTTTCTCAGCTTTTTTTTCTTTCCATTCTCTCGGTTCATTTAGTTGGTCTTTAATTTTTTGTCTACAAATTTGTTTGCATTTTTTTTCTTTGTATGAATCCTTTTCTGTGATGATCATTTTTGCAACTTTGATTTTTCATAGATTCTCAATTCTTTTCATTTTTTTTTTCGAGCAGTATTCTCTGACAGCTTTTCATTTTCCTCTCAATGTCTTGAGCTAAGATATTGAAATTCTTTAATCTTTCAGTTCAAGACATCTTTATTTTATTATATATTAATCTAAACTTATAACAGGAAACTATCAAAATTTACAATGACCTTAAAATTAATATTTTATAGAACTATTTTATTCATCTTTTCAAGGAAATTCAAACTAAAAAAAGTTTCAAAATACCACGATGTTGTTTGTTTTCTTGTTGAATTTATTAAAGAAATTTAGATTTATTTTTAAAAAAGTAATTTATAGCAAAACTATATTGATGTTAAAAGATTGAAAATTTTCAAATTTTAATAACTAAAGAATTTAATATCAATATTTTTCCATACACTATACAAAAACTTCTAAATGTATTTTAAAATGTAAATTTAGGTCATTGTAAAAATATGCATACAGATCGTAAAAAAAGTTCGAAAAATTAGCTTTTTGGTTTCACTAATTTGAGAATCGCCCAGAAGTTTCATCACCTAAGTAGTTTTTACTGGTGTGTTGCCATTTGGCAACATTATGCAATATCGGGTTAAAAAAGTTTTTATAAAGTAATTAAAGTAATTATAATATTTAGTTAAATGTAAAATAATTAATTATAAGTATAAGTAATTAATTATAAAATAATATAATTTTAAATTAGTTAATTATAAATTAAACTCATTTACCAAAATAGTTTTTACACGAAGTAAAAACAAAATAAAACTAGAAATCATACCGAACAAATCATGTATTTTACCGAATAAAAATGGTATAAAAATGAAATTATGTTTAATTAAATGTTTTTTAATACTGGTCGCGTCCCTACCCTCCCTTAAAAGGTTTACCATTTAAACAATTTACTAAAGTAAACCGTTACGCGACTTACGTAAGACTATTCGCATTTGTCTTTGTGTATATGCAATATTTAGCATAAAATCCTCTTTCGTCATAAATATAAGCGCAGAAAGGTTTGAGCATTGGTGCAACCAAAACCTTTTTATTGGTGTGTTTTTTAATGGGTGCGTTTATTTGATAACAAAGTTTAACTTATAAAGGATTTTATTCTCCGTGCAATGTAATCGTGTGATGTAATCACAAATCGTTTTAAGAAAATACAACATGCGTTAAAATTAAAACTTTAAAAAATTACTTTTTCAGAAATTGTTATAATGCAATTGTTAATAATAATAGTTTTTTTAATCTAATTTCGCTACTCTTTCTTTTTATCTTTTAAAATTATTTCAATAGATACTTCTATACAACAGTAAAGGTCCCAGTAATACAACAGTAAAGACCCAGGTCAATTTTCACTTATTCTATTCCTCAGATATGTTTATAATCTCCTAAGAGTCTAAAATTTAATTTGATTGTTAAAAGTGATCTCGTATAGTCTTCTATTAACGCTCATACAACACTAATAGTTGGGCGTAGCATTTGCTTATTTTGGTCAAGTTTTTCCAAGTTCATTTTCAAATTTGAAGTAATTATCAATAACGATAATATTATCTTGTTTTTTATTAAATACTGAAAAATATTATCTTGTTTTTTATTAAATACTTAAAAAAATCTATTTATTTTTGAAATAAAAGCCTAATGATATTTGTTTTTCTGATATGCATTAAATTTTTTCTGTTGCGCAAAACCAACTGTCAAATTTTGTTAGTAAAAACCCAAATTTTTGACTTCAGAACAAAATGAAATGCAATACATACAGTAATTAGAGCTATACCATTTTAAGGATTTGGATATGCCAACCAGATTGATCAAGCAATTTATAATGAACTTTTAGATTTTTTTTCTTTTCATTTCAACTTCATTCCAAGTCTCAAATAGCTTATCATATATATTACAAAGTGCTTTGTGGTGGATTGCTGAAAACAATTCCAGCCTGGAAAAGTGGACTTAGATATCTGGATAAGTGGACTTAGATAAACTTGGAAAAACTGGAGATAGATACCTTCTACAAATAAAATGAATATCCAACTTTTTAATGTTTATACTAGTTTGAAATAATAACGTTTTGCAGAAGAAAAAAAAAACCTAATCAATCTGCATTAGCATATCATAAAACCTTTTGCAAAGAAAATATTATTTGGGAAAAAACAAGAACATTAAAAGTAGAAAATAAAAAGTTTGAAAGAAAAATTAGAGAGGCATTAGAAATACAAAACAACATGTACTCTGCAGGAAACGGCGGAATTAATCTTGATGAAGGCCAATATGTAAAAACTATGTTTTGGACGCCATTTTTAAAATTTAAAAATCAACCAAATAGCTTCTTGATATATATATATATATATATATATATATATATATATATATATATATATATATATATATATATATATATATATATATATATATATATATATATATATATATTAAAGAAGTTAACAATTTCTCTAAAATAAAGAAGCTTGATTGATTTTTAAATTTTAAAAATGGCGTCCAAAACATAGTTTTTACATATTGGCCTTCATCAAGATTAATTCCGCCGTTTCGTGCAGAGCACATGTTGTTTTGTATTTTTAATGCCTCTCTAATTTTTCTTTCAAACTTTTTATTTTCTACTTTTAATGTTCTTGTTTTTTCCCAAATAATATTTTCTTTGCAAAAGGTTTTATGATATACTAATGCAGATTGATTAGGTTTGTTTTCATTAATGCTCTTCTGATGTTGATGCATTCGCGTATTTACCTGCATTTTTGTTTCACCTATGTAGACCTTGGAGCAGTTGCATTTTATTATATAGGTTCCAGGGTGGCTGTTACTTGGTAGTTTTGGTTTGTTTTTTGATGTTAATAAAGATCTTAAATTTAGGTCTGATTTAAATACTGCTCTGTACCCTGCTTTTCGGAATATTTTTCGAAGTTTTGGTGAAAGACCTGGTACCCATGGTAAAAACACTACAGGAAGATTATTGTATTCTGATGGAATTGTGTTTTTATTTTGTCTTTTTTGATGAAATTGGTGTGTAATATTCCTCAATAGCTTTTCATCGTACCCATTTTCAACAAACATGTCAGTTAAAAAATTTATTTCATTTTGCAAATGATGCTTACTACAGATGAAGTAAGCTCTGTGGAGAAAACCTTTAATTATAGCTGTTAAAATATTTGGATCGTGATTTGAATGTGGTTTAATTTGAATGTTAGTGATTGCCTCTTTTCGATATACTTTGTACTCATATTTTCCTAGTGTGTTATTTGTAATGGTTATATCAAGAAAGTTAAGTGTTTTTGTCTCGTTTTCAACTTCAATTGTGTATTGTATTGCAGGATGTTGTTGATTTAAAATATCTTGGAACTGTTTTGCTTGTTCGATGTTAGGAAATCTTGCATGAATGTCGTCAACGTATCTTAAAAATGATTTTAGATTAAGTGCAGGATTCATTGTCAAATCCATTTTAATTGCATTATTTTCATGGAATTGTAGAAAAGACTCTGCGAGAACAACCATGAAAGAAAATCCGATTGGTCCTGAGTTTTCCATTATGTAAATCTCATTGTTCCAATGAAAATAACATTGATGTAAGCAAAGTTCTATGAGTTGTTTTATTTTAGGTATACTTAGTTTTGTTACGTTTTTATATGATAAACTGTTATTTAATTGTTCTAAAAGTATTACGGTGGCTTCTTTTAATGGAATTGACGGGTACAGATTTACAACATCATAAGACACTTGAATATCATTGTTAGCGACATTCCAATTTTCTGCTTTTTTCTTGATGTTTTAAAATAGTATATACAAATTTCTAAATGCAGGCACAATAATAATAATAATAATAATAATATATATATATATATATATATATATATATATATATATATATATATATATATATATATATATATATATATATATATATATATATATATATATATATATATATATATATATATATATATATATATATATATAATATATATATATATATATATATATATATATATATATATATATATATATATATATATATATATATATATATATATATATATATATATATATATATATATATATATATATATATATATATATATATATATATATATATATATATGTAAATGGTAGTTAAGAAGAACTTAAGGAAAAATTATAACAATAATTACAGCAATTAAAAAAAGTTAAAAACTTACAATAGCTAAGATGTTTAATAAATAATAAACAATTCTTGAATGAAATAAATTAAATGAAAAATATTAAAATGTAACGTCATCACAAAGTAGATTAAAAATTTATTGTTATAATTAAATTTAGTTTTGTTTTATAGAAGTTTATTTTAAATTTTAAAACCGAATATATATTCAAATTCATAAATAATAATAATTGTATTTTCGATTCATTTTTAAACAGCATTTATTTTTAAATTATACTTTGGAACGATAAAGTTAACTATTCTCGACAAAACTAACTGTATTTTTGACAAAGTAAACTATAATCGACAAATTAAATTATATAATTAAATTATGACAACAATCGTTGTCTAAACTTTGTCGAGTACTTATGACTATTTATACTAAAATAGGAAAGAATTGTTTTTTGAGACAATCTTAGCTTTGTTTTAAAACACGAACGTTAAAACATGTAAGTTGAGTTTGTACGCATTTACTATATTGCATAATAATATAATACAGTTAATATATTGAAAAATAATATAATTAAATAAAAATTTTAAAAAGATATACAAAAGATAAAAAGAAATTTTTATTTCAAAGTAAAGTTTAAAAGTAGCTATTCTATTAAAAAGAATGTTTTACTTTTCGAAGGCAAATAAAGAAAAAAAAATTAGATTGAAAATAAAATATGGGAATAATTAAGGTAAAAATAAAATTATAGCAAAGTCTTTGTCCATCAGAGTAACAGGTAACAACGATAATCAAATAGTTATTTAACGATAAAAACAAAAGGAAAATTTGACGCCATTGTCAAAGCTAGATGGCAATATAAAACCTTTTATTATTGTAGTTTTTGATTTCCATTGAAATATAGTGCACACCTAAACAGGTAATTTTTGTTAATTAGTTTAAATTAAAATTAAAACTAAATGAGAAACTTTTAAAGCACCATTGTTTTATGACAGGATGTTTTTTAAATTCATTCTTGTTAAACTTCTTCCTTGCAGGAATATTATTAGCCAATAGAAAAAGAAATCATTTTGACTTATATTAAGAAAAACGTTTAAAAAATAAATAAATACAGGCAATTAAGTTAAAACAAGAAAAAAAGTCTATTTAAATAATGAGGAAGCGCCTATTTTTTTCATTTAGTTCATATTAAAGTGTCAAAACTTTATCAATAAAAAATAATTTTAATAAAATATTTTAAATTTATAAGCTTATCTTTTTCGTTTTAAGTTTTTATCATTCAATTATTTTTGTTTTATTTTTCATCTTTTTTTTTTTTTTACTTCTGCATATTTTTAGATTAACTTGATTTTTTTTATTTGCATTGTTTGTTGTAATATAAAACGAGAACTTAAAAATTAAAAAAAAAAATTTAACTTGTTGTAATACATTACATCAACTTAAATTTTTTTTTTTCAAAGCTATTGAAATGAAACATAATGTTGAGAAAGATTTTATAATAAACTTTAAATATTAAAATTGATAATACATAATAAGCATATGTTTAATTAATGTTCTAACTAGGGTTAGGACTATTGTAATTGTAATAAAAACAAAAACAGTAACAATAACTATTGTTATTGTATTAACTTAATTTAGAAACAATAACAATACTTGTGATTTACAACTGTTGTAATAATGTAATGCAATAACAATAAATATTGTATTGCAACTCATCTTTATAAAACAATATCAATATCTGAAAAAAAAAATGTATTGTAATGACCCACTACAATAACAATAAATATTGTATTGTAATTCGTATTTACAATACAATAACAATATATTGTTATTGTAAATAAAAAAATTGTTTTAGGCTCAAAATTTAATAAATGTTTTAACAGTCCAGTCTCTGAGATAAGTGACCTCGAAATAGGGTACAAATAATATATAAGTATTGATTCTGTTTCTTTTTTATTTTATAAACCTTATATAGCTCTATAAAAGTGAGTTTAATCGGGCCTGTATTTCTTTTACTGCTAGGGATAGACACGATCAATTACTATCATTTCTTTCACTTAGTTGTTTGTTTTTACATTAGACACCTACCCAATTGTTTCGAAACTTACTCAACTCACACTTACTCCAATATAACTTTGTCTTTTGTTTCCCTTCGGCTTTATGGCTGTATGTGTTTCATAAAGTAACTGGACATCTAGTTGCAAAGTTATAAAAGAGTTTTGTTACATAAATCAAGAACCAATATTTATTTGGTGTTCTAAACTGCCTCATTTTTCAAAAATTATCCACACAAAATTTATTGGTACGGTCTGATAGGTGATCAACAATCTGAAAATGTAGAAAATTTTTTAACAAAACAAAAGTAATTCATTTTCAGACAATCTAATCGATAATTACTCAGGTTAATGGTTCTTTGATTCCATAACGATGTTATTGATTACACATTAGCGGTTAGATATATTGAAAAAAAAAAGCGTCTAATGTAGTTAATCAATTAGTTTAGACATCATCATCCGGTGAAACATGTCAATATCAGTTTAGACAAAATTATAAAAAAATATAAAATTTTACTTCTTAAAGTAAATAATTATTTAATTACAAGTATATGATAAATAATATATATTTGTATGATTTTGAATGAATATTATTAATGTTAATTCTAAATAAATTATTATTGAAACAATTATATTATTGAACTCAAAATAAATAAAATTTATATATGTAAATGGTTTCTAGAAACCTAATATTTATTAAGTATACGTAGTATATATATATATATATATATATATATATATATATATATATATATATATATATATATATATATATATATATATATATATATATATATATATATATATATATATATATATATAGGCTCAGTGATAAGACAGTCATTGTCTTCTTCTTGCTCCTGCCAATTTTTATAAATGTAATATGTCTTTATTGTAAATATATGAAACAGTAAAAAAAAAAAAAAATTATATATACTTCTTTGGCTTCCCTGGCTTCACTTCACTTCTCAAAATAAATAAAATTTATATATATAAATGACTGCTGAATACGAGCGTCACGGGCACCCCTAAATTATCTACACCTTTTCAAGATGTAAATGAGAACATGAAAGTTGTAATTAAGAAGTCGTAATATGTAATTAAGAAACACAACATGTAATTGAGAAAACGTTATATGTAATTGAGAAACACAACATGTAACTAAGAAGTCGTAACATGTAATTAAGAAACACAACATGTAATTGAGAAAACGTAAGATATAATTGAGAAATCATAATATGTAATTGAGAAATCGTAACTTGTAATTGAGAACACATAAATTAAAATAGCAAATTCACAGTCTAAGTTTGTAGGTTGTTACAAAAGGTCTTTTTGGACATGAATTTAAGTTATAATCTTAAATTTTGCTTTTGTATGCACAAGTAATAATAATGGAATTGAAAGATCGTTGTGTTATATGCCAATACACTATGACCCGAAAGTCTGTGATTAAGCTAAATCCGTGTCAACATTTATGTCACCAAATTTGTTTACGTCCAGTTCTGGAACAACCAGATTCAAGTTGTCCGATTTGTCAGTATGAAATACACACAACTGAACAAGTTGAAAGGAAACGTTACGTTTTATCTTCTCCAAATGACAGGAGAAGAGTTGTTGAATGTGCAGAGCGATTTGAAGATTGGGTGAATCTCGCGCAAACGCTAGGTATCAAATATAAGACAGCATACAATTGGATTCGCAGCGGAAATTCAAATTTCATCGGAAAAGGAGGTTTTAAACCGAAAAAGTTGACCGAAGATCAAATCGAAGAAACATTAACATGGATTGAAAATGATTGTCAATTAACATTGGTGACCATCAAAACAAAGATATTAAGGCAATTTAACATAAACGTTAGCACAACAACAATAGCAAATTACCTCGAAGGCAGGTTGTTCTCATTAAAAAAAGTGCACAAGGAGCCTTCTACAATGAACAGTTATGAAAACAAACAAAAAAGAGCTGAATATGTTAGAAACATCAACGAACATATCACAAATGGTCGTCAGATAGTTTGGTTGGATGAAACAAATTTTAACCTTTTTTGTAGAAAAACGCAAGGACGCGCGAGACAAGGAAAAAGAGCAATTATGAAAGTACCTGCTTCAAAAGGTTTAAACATACACTTGATCGCAGCTATTTCAACTACAAATGTCGTCATGATAGAAACTCGCAGGGGATCATTTAAAGCAGATTCCTGTAACGAGTGGATGTTGGCTATGTTTCACCAGTGGGTTACATCCGGGAATCGTTTGGAGGATTTGGTCGTCGTAACAGATAATGCTCCTTGTCACGCTCGTTTGCAAAGGGTGTTTGATAATTCACCAGCTCAGTTGTTACGTTTGGGACCTTACAGTCCAATGTTGAACCCGGTGGAAACGATCTGGTCCAAAATTAAAAGTAACGTTAAAAATGCAATTCGCATTCCACCTGTATTAGGTGACGGGATTGCGGAACAGCGCATGCAGTACTTAGAACGAATTGTAATTGAGGCGAAAAATACTATAATGGGAGGAGATTGTGCTCGTGCGGTACAACACACAACCATGCACTATGCAACTATTTTAAATATGGAAGACGTACAAGTTGGTGCTTAAATGATCAATGAAGTGATTTTTAATTATATAATTTCTAATTGAATTATAAATTTTTCCCTAAAATGTTTTTAGTGTTTATTATGTTAAATTCATTTGCCCAAAAATTATAAATTTTTCCCTAAAAAATTAAATTTACGCTACAAATCTTGCGTCATTTTTAAGTGCGTCATTTTATACGCTCCATTTTTTTACGCGCCATTTTTTTTAAGCGCCATTTTACACTTACTCCTTTAAAGCGATATCTAAATTAAAATTTTCGTGTTCTCAATTACATCTTTCTATTTCTTAATTACAACTTACATTTTCTCAATTACATGTTACGATTCTTAATTACAATTTTCGTTTTCTAAATTACATCTTATGTTTCTTAATTACAACTTACGTTTTCTTAATTACATCTTACGTTTCTTAATTACAACTTTTGTTTTCTCAATTACATCTTACGATTCTTAATTACAATTTTCGTTTTCTCAATTACATCTTGAAAAATTGTAGTGCCCAAATAATAATAAATGCGTGAAAAAAGAGTCTAAATACTATAAAATACAATAGCTATTAGACTTTGAAATAGTAATATAATCAATGAAATAGTAATACATCAATGTACTTATTGTAATTGTTTTATATCACAGCAAAACAATACAATAGTTAATGTCATTGTACTACATCATAGCAAAACAATACAATAATTTTAGAGCTTCAATGTATTGTTAGAAAAAAAAAACAATACAATAGTTATTGTAACTGTTTTTATTCACAGCAATACAATAACCATAAATAATGTTTTAATTGCATCTCTGGTATTACAATACAATATTATTGTATTGTAATTGTTGTTGTATTTAATTTTTATAATAACAATAACAATAGTTCCAACCCTAGTTCTAACCCTACCGCTGCTTTTACTCAATTCAAATCTCAATTCAAAGTAGTATCTTTAAAGGATGCCATATATTTATTTTAATACTAATAATTTAATAACTGTAATAATTAAATAATAATACTGTAAAAATAAATAATAATAATTTAATGACTGAAGCAGAAAGAACGTATCGGTAGTACGGGACAACTCGTCGCAAACAAGATGAAGGAAGCAAATTCAAAAGAACTAATGTTCGAGAAAAAAAAAACTAGACAAATAGAAATTTTGGGGCATTTAGGAACTTTCACATTTAAAAGTAGAGACTTTATTAAATGACTAGTAACACAAGAATGGATTTTAGCAGATGGCACAAGAGACGTTAGCTTTTTAAAGCAGCCTTCATAATGGCATTTATAGATATTTGAGAAGCAACATTCGACGATGTGAAAATGGTTGAAGGTTGGCTGCAAGAACAGATCCAACTTTGTTTACAATCAATTTTTGCACTTTGCTTGAGAGTAAGGGCATCATTAGAAGATTTGCTCCAGATATGCCAAAATGTTCTTCTAATTCGCTCCCAACAAGGCTGCAAGCAACCACTATTAAGTTGGGAGTTACTCGGAAAAATAAGAGAGTTATAGATCAAGGAAGCGTTTGAAAAAAGACTTAAAAAGTTGTAGATTGTATGAGTCAGGAAAAAATGAAGATGGGAGAGAGTTCCAAAGGGTTGAAGTGCAGAGAAAAAAACAAGACAAATAAAAGTTTTTAGAGCATGTAGAGACAGATACAGTAAACAAATGAGACAGTTGAATGACGAATCAAACGAGAATGAGTTTTAGTTGATAGAACTAAAGATGATAAATCCTTTAAGCAGTGACCATAATAGTATTTGTAGAAAAGAAAAAGAGATGCAGCTTTACGACTGCTAAGCTTGAACCTCTTTTCCAAAACCTCTGGAAAAGAGGTTTAAGTTTAGCAGATAGAGCGGGTCCAACTACGTTTACAATATGTTTTTGGACGTTGTCTAGAAGAGAAAGAGCATCATTAGAAGAACGAGCCGAAACATGATAACAGCATTTAATATAGAAATTAATACAGTCATTAATATAGATATTTCAACAGTACTACGATAGTTATTTGCACTAAATAACTGAGTTTTGTCGGAGTTTACAAAAAAATTTACAAGCCACTGTAAGCCCCAATCTGTTACAGAAGTGAGATCAGATTAAAGATTGGCTGTCTTTTCAAAGCGTTTGAAAAGAGAAGACTTTTTGTCAAAACAGGAGTTTTGACAAAAAGTCTTCATCAGCAAAAAGAGCTACTTTAGATGTAAAGTTATCTGGAAAATCATTAATGTAGATAAGAAACAAAACAGGACCAAAGATAGAAACTTGAAGTACCCCAGAAATCACTGGAATTGGAGAAGAATATTGGCCTTCAGATAATTTACTTAATTACTTTATTAAAACGGTTAGAAAGAAACTTTTCTAATCTTAAAGACTTTCCCAAATAAACCCTATAAAGCAAACTTATTGAGAAGACCAGAATGTCAAACTTTGTCGAAAGCTTAGAGATATATCGAGAGCAAAAGCTCTTGCCTCACCGCCTCCATTTAATGCATGATAAAAATTTTATTGGAGGATAATTGGAGGAGTCAGAATGTTCACTAAAGTTTTTGAAAATTGGAACAATAGATACCTTTTTCCAACAGGCAGGAAAACAAGACAGGATGATGAGTATTTTCATAATATCGATGTAATTTTGGGAAAATTAGGAAATATTTAGGTACTACTCCAAATAATACATTGTATTACACACTAAACTCAATTTTTGTCAGTTTTCATTTTGAGCCCGCAATATACTAATAGTTTTAAAAAAGTGTTTTTAGTATTAGAAAAAAAAAAGAACAAGATTTCTAAGTTTTTTCAAAAATGGAATATGGGTTGAGTCCGATTAAGCGAACAACTCTAACAGGTGAGTATACTCTGAAACTTGAGAATAAATTTTCACGTTAACGTCAAGCTTGTACAAAGCCTTGGAAAACAAATAAATATGCTGATGTAGATTGGTTTTGGAAACTTTATATAAAAAACCTATAAACCTATAAACATATTTTTTTAGCAAGATGAGGAGAGCGTCAAGTTGATTCTGTTACAAGTGTTGAGCAGATATTTTGATAACAGTCTATAATGCAGTAAATGCAAGAGGATCATCGTGAACACCATTCTTCATGTTTCTATTTGTTTATTTTAAAAGCTTTTTTATACGAAATTCAACTCTTGGTTTTATTGGTATTGTTAATAAATCTGGATATATAATAAAATCAACTTTTAAGAAGTGGTTAAAAAATGTTAGACCATCTTCGGCTAACAATATGCTACTAATACTAGAAAAAAAGTTTTTTTTAAGAACATAACATTTTTGACTTTTGATACAGCCGCCTGGGCACATATAGCATAAAAAGTGCAGATAATACACACCAATGTAAATGGAACAAACCAAATTAATTTAAAAAGTTTTAAAAAAAGTTATATTTCTTTTTTACTCATAGTTAACATTTTGTGTATAAAAGATAACTGTAAATATCTACAGTAAATAAAAACATGCATGGAGATTTATATATGAAGCTAATATATACAATATATCATATATATATATATATATATATATATATATATATACATATATATATATATATATATATATATATATATATATATATATATATATATATATATATATATATATATTTATATATATATATATATAATAAGCTAATATATATAGAGCTAAAAGCTAATAGCATCGCTTTGAAAATCTTTTCTGCAAGTACTTAGAGCTTTAATTGTGTTTAAAATGAACTTACGTAGTTTTAATATTTTTTTTTTACAAAAAGTTAAATGTATAATAAATAAAAAGTTACATGTGTAGTAAATAAAAAGTTACAAGTATAGTAAATAAAAATAAATCTTCTTTAGAGTAGCGATGTAAATTTTCCGGTAAAATTTGATTTAAAATTTTTCGGTAAATTTTCAGGTAAATTTTACCTTCGCAACACTACTATTAAAGTAGTTTAAAAATAAAGAAAAAGTTATTTTTGTTTATAAACCTTTATAACTTTGATAAATCAAAAGCCAAAATCAACAAAATGTGTGGTTTTATTTATATTAAAGGATAATTAACATTAATCAGCTAAAGGAAATAAATGTAAAAACCTTTTATACCATAAAGTGGAATTTATATTGCACTGTTGCACAGTTCAATACGCTGTCAAGACCGAACCAATTTTAGGTGGGTCATTGAAAGAAATTGAAACATAATACTTTTTTTTTTATTGTTTGAAATCAAACATAAAACTATTGGTCAAAGCCGCAACCAATTTTGCCTGAATTATAGTTTATAGATGAGCCTCACGTTTTTAAAAAAGCTAATAAGTGTGATGCTTTTTGTATAGTTGCATAAAATATGGTTGCATAGCAAAATATTTATGTTCCTCGTATTTGGATACGTTGCTATGCAACCATGTTTGAGGTTTTTATTTTTAAAATTTTATTCATCAAAATCTAACCTAGGTTACCAAAAGTTTTGTACTCCGCAGACAATTTGTGCATCAACCTTTCATTAAGGTGCATTTATAAAATGAAAGTTTAGCAAAAATATTCTTTATAATTTAAAAATGTATTATCTTTAAATATTACAGCCTTAAAAAAAGTTTTTCATATTACGGTAAACTATTCGTAAATAAAAATAAATTGTTGTCTTTGCAAAAAGTTACAACTAGTACCAATAAATGTCATTTGTTAATTATAAAATTAAGTTAGTTAAACATTTTCAAAATTTGTAACAAAAAATTTAAAAGTTTATACTTTGAAATTTAACGCTATTAACAATTTGTCTATCAGTTAATAAAAAGACCTCTAATTGGTTTATTAAAATACTTGGTATTAGTAGCGTAGAGCTTGTTGGTGTTTGTTGCGTAATGTTTGTTGGTGTTGGTTACATAATATTTGTTGGCGTTATCATAATAAAAATAAGATATTGTAATTTTAATAATATAAATTTGATAAAAATTTGACCTTGTTTTTTAATTTATATATTTTAGAAAAAGATGAAGTTAAAGTATATTTAATTAAAATATTTTAGAAAAAGATGAAGTTATACGGTAGAAAGAGATGCGTTAAAATTAACTATTACTAAAACTACATAATCTGTACCATGGATACATACTGTGTGCTAGGGTTACATAGTATGCACCACTGTTGGGGTACGTGTAAAGATTTGAAAAATGAATTTTTTAATACAATAACTATTGAATAAGTCTATCCTATAGAAAAATGTGAATATATAATTATTTTTGTTGTTGTTGTGTTGTTAACCGTAACATTGCAAAACCCTCAGTGGGCAAGCGGCATCCTTATGATGTTATACTTTAAATGTCATTAAATGTATTTAACTACTAAAGGATTTTTATCTAATATTTAAAATAAATTTGCACTAGACCATTACTCATTTACAGTTTTTTTTCTTTTTTAATTAAAATAGAAACTTTTTTGTTGCATATCCTAATTTAAATCATAACTTTGAAGTGTCTTTTATATACTTTTGATTGAGATTTTCGATTTAATTGTTAGTTTATTTTCTAATTTAATTACTTTGGATCATTAATTGTTTTTTAAATATCGAAAACTTAAATGGTTTGCGTTAAAGCAAAAAAGAAAAAAATCTTGTGTAGTAGTGAACGGTATTGAATTTTTTTATTTATTTATTTGAGTTTTCATGCTATATTTTTCTATACAATGTTCTTATATCCGAAGGTATTGTTGGCTTAGCATAGGAACAACCACAAAAAGTCATTAAGACTAATCCAAAGTAATGTCCGTTGTTGACCAAGATTTTTGCGTACCAAAGTTACTACTCAAGCGCTGAGTTGGCGGTGGCGGGATTTGAACTCGTATTGTTTAACAGTTCGGGTTTTAACTTTTCCTTTGACTCTCTAACCATTTGAGCTATATTGCCACAAATTGGCACAATTAAATAAGTACTTTTACTTTTTTTGATGTATAAAACTTTGTGCTTTTGCTAAACTTTTCTTTATATTTAATTTATTGATCAAATATTATTTCATAATGGTAATACAACGCGTTATTATATCTTGGGATTCTAAGGAACATGGAGCGCTAAACCAATTTTGTAAATATTATAAACTAAGGATGTGTTAATTACAACCACATTCAACTAAATACGCAGTAGTCGAACTCTTCAATGACATGTCTGACGCTCTTTACAATGATTATTTTACATTAGCAGTTTAACACTCAATAACTTGTAGAGTGTCCTAGAGCCCTTTTTTAGGGCCATTATTTTTTTACTATATATAAATGATCTGTTTATGATTTATCATCAAATCTTAAAACTTTTATTCAATTACCAGACGATTGTAATCCTTTTTATTCACACAATGATACTTTTTAAACATATTTAAAAAGAACGAGTTTAAGATAAAGTTAATGAGAATTAGAGATAAAGTTAATGAGAATTAGAGATAAAGTTAATGGAATTAGAGATAAAGTTAATGAGAATGATTCGTAAATTTTTCTATGTGTAGAAAATAGCTGGTAAAATAATATTGAGTTTTGTTTCGTAAGTTAAATTAAACGGATAGCAGCTATTAAAGATTCCGAATCTTATCATAAACAAAATTATTATAAAAAGTAAATCATCAGTAAACCTTTTGACGTAGAGTTCGATGAAAATTGAAAATGGATTTTTCCTATAAACAAAAAAATTGTTTTTTATATTAGAACTAAACCATATCTTGATTTTAAATCAATAGAAAGTTTTATACTTTTATTTATAGTTACCTCATAACGCACTCTAATATCGCTTGAACAAGTACAAATCATTTAAAACTAAAAAAGCTTTACAGTAAACGAAAACGCGCATTAAGGTAGGTTGAAAATAACTTTTTTCAGAAATACAACTTTTTTCCTTAAGTTTTATATTAATTGTAAGGTAACTAAAAAAACGAAACGGAAATGAGCAACATCTCGACGGGCATTTGTTTTTAAAAGTTACGATCTAAATGTATTTTAAATGTCTTTTAAACGCCTTTTAAACATTAATGTTTAAAAGACGTTTAAAAGACATTTAAAACACATTTAGAACGTAACTTTTAAAAACAAATGCCCGTCGGGATTAGGCAAGAATTACCCATTTTACAATTTTTGACTAATACTACCTATTATTGGTAGCGCAAATTTTACATTAAAAAAAAAATTTTAAGTAGAAATTACAAAGTGAAAACATATTAGCAGGACCGTCCCGAAGGGGAAGTGTAGAGAATGTCCCTCCCCTTCCCCCCCCCCCCCACCTTAAGCTGTCATATAAGCATTTGAGTTAGAACATTGGCAAGTTTTGAACTATAGCTGGCAAATTGCAAATATTAAGGACCTTTTTTTTTTGTGTGGTTATTCTAGTTGGCAAAAAAAACATATATCACCCCCCCACCACCACCAACACCACCAACACCCCCATGGAAGACCTCTTCGGGACGACCCTGCGTATTAGGTTTGCTTGTATTATCCATAAGTATTATAACCAAAATAATAATTTTCGTATTAAAAAAGTTATTTGATTTTTTTAAAAACACATTTAAAAGAAAGATATTTCAATCGAAAAAATTAAAGTGGTTCTAGCTATGGAGTACTCTTTTCTGGAAGATTAAAGGATTGAACGTAAAATGGCTACTAGATCAATTGACAAAGAATTTACAGCCAAAGTTCAGAGTAACCAAAGCAAACAGAGCTCAAACCTTAATGATGCAGTGCCTCAATAATGGTGGTGTGATTAGATTGATTGAGTTAGAACATCAACGGCCTTTACAATGGGTAATTTGTTTTTACATGCAAATGAGCTTCCACTATGTTATTTGTTTGCAGAATTGGATGGACTAATTTCTGATCATAGATATTATTCAGGTTCTATTGGGAAGTTCCTTGAAACTTATAAGATCGTAAAGGTTGTTGATTTTTAACCTATAAACCATAATGTAGAAATGTTTGTAGAAATGCACAATAGTTAAATCATAGTATCTGCGAGATGTATTACGTAAGGTAGTAGACAGAGTTATTCAAACAAGTGCATTCTTTGGTCATCAAGATGATATTTTTCTGGCAATGATATCAGATTAACAGCCACAAATATGAGAATTAGGTGTTAGGCGTATACAGAGAGCTAGAGAAGAAAGAAGTATGAATGCTAATCAAACTAGTGTGTGGCAATTCAAAGTTCCTTCTCTCAATTTTATAACAAAGAATACACGGGAGTTGATTGATTGGAGTAATACACAGCGGACAGAGCCACCACTTACAATGCAGCTCACTGATGAGGAACGGAAAAGAGCAAAAGAGAATCACATTTAACTAAGTAATCTTTTTGAATGTGCCACACGCAAGCTGAAGAACGTTGTGTAAAAATGGTGACAGTTGTTTCTGCCTCGGTTTGCAGCGAAACAAAACGAAGTAGTGTGATACGTGTCCGATTGCAATCAAGAAAAAGTATGCTAATTTGTTAACACCAGGATACATGATAACACTATTTAGTAATATTTTTGCTTTATGTATGCTTTTCTAGCTTTTAATATTATTTCAAAATATAGTTTGTAATAATATTAAAAGCATTTTCTAGCTTTTAATATTATTTCAAAATATAATTTGTAATTAAGCTCGTATTCAATTAAATATCAATTAAAAATATTTTTAGATATTCTTAATAAAAAGATAAACACTATAATATAAATTTATAATATAAAGAATCTAAACTTGTTTTATGAATTACACTATGCTAGATTTTAAATTCTTTAAAATAAAGTAAAACTCAATTAAATTAAGGTGATTTAAATTAGGTATGAATTCAAAAAATTAAAAGTTAAAAAAAGATTGTAAAATAGACCAATAAATGCTTAGTTTTACATATGATATTGACTTTGATCAAAAAATATATAAAGCAAAATAATCTATTGTTTAAAAAAATTATAAAATCCATTATTTATTTAATCGATTAGTAAACTTTTAGTAAACTTCGTTAAAAAAAGTTTATATACAATTTTTAAAGTTGCACCAAGTAGCATCGATTTGAGTTTAGTAATTTTTTTTATCTTTTTTAAATGAAATATCCCAACAAATTGAAATATCCCAACTCATTGCAAAATATTACTAGAATTATTAGGAATGTATTTTTAAATTATTTGATCGAAGTTTTGAATATAATCTGATAATATGAATACGCTAATTTAATAGTAGTAGTTAATTGTCGACTTACGTCATCTTCTAGGCTTTTCTATTTTAAAGTAGTTTCTAGGCTTTTCTATACGCGGTTTGTTTTTTTTTACTAACAACCCCTATTACGGGTTGCTTACTGCTAGAAGTATATTAATAGATTTAAGAGATGATTTAAATGTGAAAGAACTTTACGCTGACAAAACACCAAATTAGAAATAAAAAATATTTTTTATCTTACCTAGCTGTTAACCAAAAAAATGTATAACTTTTTTCTGGTTCAATGGCCACGGTTTTTAACCACTTATATGAATATATATAATATAAATCTTATTATAATTCTCCATATTGAATATAACATATTCAAATTTGAAAGTCGAAGTACTTATAAAATTTCTAAGCATGATGAAATTTTGTTTATGAGATAACTAAAAACTGGATCTCAGTTTAAATTAATCAAAAGTATCTTATATATTAGAGATTCATCACCGTACAAAAATGTTTTTATGATAAAAAATTTATGTGCTATGCTTCGTTATCTACCTGCTACCCTTCGTTATCTACTTGTTTCAACAGAAAATATAATATCATTACATCATTAATGATCATCTAAATGAATCCATAGCAACATGACTCCAGAAATGTAAATCCAGAAACATAGCCAAACTTCTTATTTTTACTCATTTTTTATTTAAAAGTGTTTATTTATTTTTATTGTTGTATAAGTATTTGGTTTTTAACGGAACAATACACATCGACATATAGGCCTACACTACCCCACACAACTTTATTATGTGGGGTAATGTGGAGTAATGTAAAAAAACTATGCATTTTTCCGTCTCAAGTTTAATTGAAACTAATTATCTAGTAACTTTTTTCTAGATAAAACATTCACTATATCTTAGAGCCAATTTTCAATACACTTTTTCGAAGTTTCAGATTTTTGATAAAAAATTTCTGTTTAATTGTATACTTTGATTCAAAAATGTATTTAAAAAATTTACCTATTAACCTGATAATTAAAATTTAGAGAGCTGTTAACACCACTTCTAACTGTTTTAACCTCCTATAACATAGGGAAGAAAACGCTTAAAGTCTTTCTTCTAAAAAACTGATAAAAGTTGATTAAACCCGCATTACCCCATATACCAACATGTATATGTTACAACTTAATAAGTTGTAACATAGTACAAATATATATGTTACAACTTTTTTTACGTGTATATGTATATATATATATATATATATATATATATACATATATATATATATATATATATATATATATATATATATATTAATTTTCAATTAATAATAAGCAATCAGAAAGTCTCCATTTAATTTATTGCATTTAGAACGAGTTTTTATTAGAAAAATATTTCATTAGAACAAGTTTTTTGAGTAAAGTTTTTAGAGAATGTTCTGGAAGGCAAGTTAAAGTATATTTTGGGATTAACTTGTTATACCGGTTGTTATACAGACAAAAATAGTTTACGTTGGCAAATTTTACCGCCGGTAGCATTTTACGCCGGTTAAAAGTTTTTTAACATTGGCCCTTCCCAGCCGGCATTTGTTTTTAAAAGTCACGTTCTAAATGTCTTTTAAATGCCTTTTAAACGTCTTCTAAACATTCTTACGAAATAAACATTTAAAAGACGTTTAAAAAACGTTTTAAAGACATTTAGAACGTAACTTTTTAAAACAAATGCCCGTAGGGCAGGTTGTCTATATATAGTATTTATAATTATGTTTTTAGAGTTTTTGTTAACTAGTTGTATGCATAATGACTCACATTTCATTTTCATTCCGTAAGAATCTTAGTGTGAATGTTTCATTCACACTAAGATTCTTACGAAAAATACTGTCGATTAAATAGTGGATATAAACACTTACGCCTCAACCAGCTTGTTTTACGTGGTTCATGAACAGATGTATATTTTTTTAATTCAAATTGTGACTTTTGTTCACATTTACACCAAGTTTCTGTAAAACAAATAATGCAAAAACCATGCTTTATTTCGTCGAATAAAAATTTAAAATTTCATATTAGTATTATACCTGATGACGCTGATCGCAATAGATCAGCGAAATATCGAAATAATTATATTTTAAAGAAAAAAAAAATATATATATATATATATATATATATATATATATATATATATATATATATATATATATATATATATATATATACTTAAAAAAAGTTTATACGCAGCCGTATTTATTGAATTCTAACCATATTTTAACGTATAACAAGAAAATGACATTCAAAGATTATATTAGTATTTATATATTATATTTATAATATATAAATATTAATATAAAATATATTTGTATACTGTATATTATATACAGATATTAGTATTTAAAATTGAAAATGAAACTTTATTTTGGCGAAAATATTTTGTGGTTTGGGAAATCGAGTAGTAGTTAATTTCATAAGTTGTTTGATCAAAGTATTTTGTATAGGTTACTGATACTTTTAATATGGCCGGCGCAAATGAGGGTGTGTGGGGTTGTTGGTATAAGACCCCCCATCAATAAATATTTAGTTCATTTAGTCGGCAAATTTGACCCTTTTAGACAAATAAGTCGGCAAATGTATACTTTTTAGATAAAACAGTTGGCAAGTTTAGATATAACATTCTTATTAACACAATAAAACTGGAGTTATGAATGTGTTTTTTTCTGATGTTATTAATGTGGACTTTATGTAACTTATTATTATGTTATTAATGTATTTTTTCACTATTCATTAAGCTAGAAATACTATTTGTTAAACGAATAGTAATAATATTCATTGAACATTGTAATATACAGGTAACAATGTTCACTAAACTTTGTAACCGAAGTTTGACAAATATTCACTATTCGACTTCGTTTAACTTCGATTTGCGAAGTTAAACGAACTTCGCAGGTACTTATTTACAGTTTCTGATCTCAAATATGTTAAAAAAATTTCTAAATCAAAATAAACAACACGTTGCTGTGAACGTGGCGAAGGAAAAGTTTTAACTTTATAGCACAGTTTTTATTATTTTTAAAATTATTTTTTTTAATGGTTTATACAAGTTCAGAATGTAGAATATTTGCGTTTCAAAAAATTGAAATATTTCATAAATAATTTTTTTTTTATATATTTTGTTTTTTTATATACAGTTATAAAATTAACTAGATAACTAATTTTAGCTTTAATCTTTTTTTAATTAATTTGATATAAAAAAAAAAAATTATTTAAAATATATAAAGCTACTAGAAGATTATATCGAGGATATCAGTTTTATATAAAATATTACAATATAAAAAGTAATGAGACGAGATGACATCCCGCCACATCCTGCCTCAGCTCAAGCACTGTAGGATAACTCAATGGCGCATAACTTTTTTCCTCGATTTTAAAGTTTTTTTTTAATAATTTTTTGTTTACACTATTGAACTTAGCTAAAGTTCAAAAGTGGAAACAAAAATATTGTTTAAACTAAAAGCTTGAAAGTTTTTTCACAATAATTTGAGTTTTTTGTATTAAACAATATAATACTTTCATTTTTACATTTTTTTTTAACAAATTTATCAAACTAATTAAGATATTAAACGTGGAAGCAAAAAAAAAAACAAGTTTTTTTTTTAATTCCAAACCTGTTTATTTTCGAATTTGTTACAAAAACTTGTTTATATACAAAACTATGTTGATACTTTAATTCTCTCTAATAATTAGTCTATGGTCTACTTCTCATAATTTAGTAGAAACGTTTTAAAATTTTAGTCAGTTACAGTTTTTGTTTGAAAAAACAAGAGATTAATTGTCAATATCGACAAAACTCGAAGTGCGTTTCAAATTTCCCCTTTCTCACTTTTCTGAAGCATTTTATAATATATTGGAATCACTTAACTCCATAAAGTAATATTATTTTAAATATTAATTCTCCATAAAGGCAAAAAAATCTCCGCCCTTCCTTTTACCCATTCAACTCTAGAAAATTTATCTGTATTAAAAAAATATTATTATTTTTGGCTAACGTAAGAAACTTGTCATTTTTTATCTTTAAATTTTTAAATCTTAAAAATTTTACAACGCTAAAAAGTTTGTTTAATTATTGATTTAAAGTCACATGTAAACATGTTCACATTCACACTACATTGTTGTAAACTATGATACTTTTTGAAAACTTATCACTTAAGTAATAGAACTTAGAGACAATTGAAGTTGCAAAATATTTTTCAACTTCACCAAAGGGAATTGTGAAATTGAAATTGAAAATTTCTTTGCAGTTTTTACTTTGAATTGTTGCTGTTAAAATGAAGAATATTGCTTTCATCTTTACATCAACAGTCAGAAGAATCATGCTCAATTAGCAATAATATTATTTAGAACAAAAATAAAACGAATATTTATCATTTTACTCACTTGTTGATGTTTTTGTAGTCAAATTATTGGTTAAATAAAAATTGTTTCGAATACAGACATTTTTTTTTCGTTTTAGTCCCTTTAAACGTGTAAGTTATCTATTTTATGAGTGATCAGAGTTTTAGTAATCTCCAAATCTCTCTTAGCGGGATTTAAGAAGCCAATCATTTAAGAGACAAATTAACTTTTATTTTCAAGTCATAACAAAAAAAACATATTGGAATCTGTTAATCTTACATGATCCTACTATTAACCTAATCAATTTAAAAATGATACCTAAAAGCAAAAAACGTGTGTATTCTTAAACTATTTTTAATTAGTTTATACATTTTTTAAAAAGTAAGAAAGTCTGTGTAAGATAATAGTAATTACAAAATATTAACTACATTACCACTTTGACAAATATTATTTTTACTAATAGTAACCACAGTGATTGATAAGTACAAACAGTTGCTATAGAAAAATTAATCCCTGCTCTTTATATATTGATAACATATTAACAATAATGTTTAAAAAATTCTTAAAATAATAATAAATAACAACATGTTCTTTATTTTATCCACTTGTTCAAATCAACATCTATTTATTTGCATGTAGGCAATTATTGCTTATGGTTTCCATGCAATGGTATATTTTATAACTTTTGATTAAGTAATCCAGAAGTCACTTGAATAAAATTGATAAAATGTCTTATTGAACTTTAATTACTTTCCTTTATATTTCTGTAAATACTTTATAATATTTGTTAATTTCTAATAAATATTAGTCAAATAGTTTTCAACCATACTTCATTACAAATATTCATATTATTTATTAAAATATATTATTTATTATATATAATTGTTAGTTTAGTTGTTATTCATAATTTTTTTACAAATAATAGCTTCATAAAAATAATTAAGAACAATGAAGAACTTAATAGAACACTGCATCAATTGCGAGAAACGTTTTTATAATGAGAACTCAATAACTTTTGAAGAAAAAACTATAAAAGAGGCTGCGCATTACGAAGAAACAAAGAAAAAATGCTGCAGCAATAAAACGTAAATTTTTTGTTATAACAGCTATGTGTTACTTAAACTCTATAGACATTGAGTTTCTTTTATAGTTAATTTGTGATGCATAAACAATATAACTTTTTTTGTTTAGATTAACTCTTATCAAAAGTGTTGCGGGCGGACAGCTTTTATCACTACTGCTGTGTGGCTACGGCACTTTTATAACGGCTCTCGGGACGCTTTATGGTATACATACACCATGCTTTAATGCTTCTATCACGTATGGTATGATAGCATTTACATTTGGTATTTATGTGCTAGCTAGAAAAAATAATAGAAAAATTCTACAACTTCATTGGTGGAAATTCCTTATTGTAACTTTTATTGAAGTAGAAGGTAACTTCTTAATTACAAAAGCTTACGGCTACACCACCTTGACAAGTGTTCAGGTAAAACTTCTTTTTTTTTTTTATTGTAATATATACTTTTATAACAAGCAACTTTGATTTTTAAATCAAGTCAGACTTTTGTCAAAATTAGTTTAGAAATCCAATTTTTGCATTATTGCAAAGGTAATGGACGTAGGTATTTTGTAGTATCAGGCGTAGATACCTTGGATAAGTATTACCCATTTCATTTAGGTAAATATCTGAAATATTATTCATATAAAATTTCAATTTTCTGCAATATTATTTATGTGATATAATCAATAATGATTTAATTTATTCAGTACATGTTCTTTCAATATATGACTTTCACTTAAAGAATTATGTATTAGCGTATGTTTTTTCAATGTATGACTTTCGGTGCAAGAATTCGGTTTAAGATTAATATTTAATAACTTTAGAGTTATATTTGTACTTATTTTGAACTTTTTTTTGTAATAATTTCAGAATAATAGTAAACAAATTAATACTAAAACAAAAATTTATTTGCTTGTTTATTTTCATTTCAAATTGATTTAAAAAAAAAATTAACCAGACAGCTTCAAACAAAAAAATAACTTTAGATATTTTATATGCATATGAGGAGAAACTTCTCAAATAGATTTCTATAATTTTAAAAAGTCTTTTATATTAATCATTTTCTAACTTTTGAGAAATTCCTCGCTGAGTGCTAGTTTGAGTCTTTCCAATATTAGTATCCCAAAAGACTACCCTCTATATACAATATTCTGTGTGGCAAAACCATACAGGTTTAAGCTGTGACAAGCACACCAAGAATAAATAATCAGTAAGTACTCTTTATAAATTTTAACTTGTGCACATTTTACTGACCACTCATGTCTCTGTTGTTCATTGTCTTCGTAACGGCAGTCTATTATTGGTATGTTATGTTTTTTACATGAAAACATAATCGCGTTCTAAGTAAACTTTGTTGCATTATTATGAACAAGAAACTAGGTACTGACTTTGGCTTTACTGTTTTTGTTGAAAAATACATTTAAAAAATGCATAATATTGAAGAGCTAACTTTTGAATTAAAAGGCTCATAATTCAACGTCTGCTCTATCAATAAAAACAACGTGAATGAAAAAAGATGGTGTGAAGTTTCTTTAGTTAATGCTATTTGATGGTGCTCTATGACAGTTAAAAATTCTTGGAGTATCTTAAACCACAAGCTAAAGTTTAGATCAATAATAACACAATGATAAAAATATTTTTTTGTTTTGCCGATAATCAATATTATCTTTTATGTCTAACAAGTAGATTATTGGAGATTATAAAACTATAGATATTTTTATTACATTTTTTAAAGCTATTTTTAAAGTGAATAGTATAACTTTTTCTGTTTTGTTTGTCACCATTTGCTATTTAAATGAAATTTCGCCCAGAACTAACAGCTTATTATTTTGGTATGGAAATTTTATTCGGAATTGATCTAGTATTCAGCAATTGCGAACGCACTGAACAGACGTGTTCAGTTTTATTGATACATTCATTTATATATTTTTTGTCTTTTATATATTGTATAAAGATAAATGTAAAATAAAAAAAATAAAAAGTATGAACTAGGGTTTCTCAAACGGGATCCCGGGATCCCGTTTTCCCGGGATCCCGGGGATAAAAGTGGCAGCGGGATTTCCCGGGATATCACTCTTATATCCCGGAATATAATTTTTTTTTAAATAATTTTACATATGATAACTTTGAACTAATTCGACCAAAAATAAGAAAAATATTATTGCATTTAGTTGTGTTTTATGTGTTCATACCTTATATTAAAACCTAGCACAACAAGAAATGCTATTGAAACTATCTTAAACTAAAAAGAAATGCATTGCAATGCAATGTTTTCTTTTTTCTCATTATTATAAAATATGAGTAAAAAATAAAAAAGATTTCTTGCGACGAAAACAGTAAGTTTAATTTTTAAACTTCTAAATTATTGAAAAGTTAAACTTTTTCTGTATCAAATTATTGAAATATTTAATAATTTTTGTATTTAAAAAACGGCAAACAAACACATAAAAGTCATACGTAAGATAACATACATATGTAAGAAATATTTGTAACTTTACTTTTAGTTGTTCTGCGATTCAATTTAGTTATACTATGTCAATTGTAAATGGATCCAAAGCATGGCAGTATTTTTGTAAAGAAAAATCTGGCGAATCTGCAATTTGCAAAAAGTGCAATGTAAAGATAATGTGCAAAGGATTTTCGACCAGTGGGCTCCTACGTCATTTAAAAAACACACATAAAGATTTGGATCTAAATATGAAGCGTCTACTTGAAGATACTGGTTCGGAAAATAAAATTGTTCAAAAGAAAATAACATTGTTTGTTAAACAGCAGACTATCGAGGAAATTGTGTCAAAGCTAGCAACGGTGGATGGCTTCTCAATAAATGCCATAACAAAAAGTGAATTCATTAGAAAATCATTGTCTGAAAAAGGCATGTTATTACCAAAAAATCCATCCCATGTTATGGGTATGATAAAAAAACAATATGAATTAGCTAGACAAACTGTGGTTTTAGAGATAACAAAAGAAATTTCTAGCGGGTCGCGATTTTCTTTATCGTTAGACGAATATACGTCTTTAAAAAATCGACGTTATTTAAATGTAAATTTACACTTATCAACAAAGTTTTGGAACCTGGGAATGACTCCGATAGCTGGATCACTTCCTGCAGAAAAAATTGTTGATCTAGTTGAAAATAAACTGTCAGATTTCAGTTTATCAATTAAAAAGCACATCTTAGCTAGTGTCACTGACGGAGCATCCGTAATGAAAAAATTTGGACGGCTAAGTGGTATTGAACATCAGCTGTGTTATGCCCACGGACTTCATTTGGCAGTATGTGATGTTCTTTACAAAAAGTCAGACTCTTCAGCAAAATATATTGAATTTGAATCGCAGTTTCAAGATTCCGATGAAAATTTGAGTGATTACGACGAGTTTGATGATGTATTTGACTGTAATGATGAGTCACACAGCTCAACAGGCGTTACGTTTATTGATGATTTACAAAATAGCGTAAATATAGCCTTAACAATTCAGAAGGTTCGAAAAGTGGTTCGAATGTTCCGTAAATCACCTCTTAAAAATGAAGTTTTACAAATGTACGTAAAATCTATGTTTAATAAAGAGCTTAAGCTGATATTAGATGTCAAAACGAGGTGGAATAGTCTTGTTGCAATGCTAGAAAGATTCCTTAAAGTAAAAACATGTATACTAAAAGCAATGATCGATTTAAAAGAAGTTCTGAATATCTCCGAAGATGAATATGCGATTATGAACGACATAACATTTTCTCTGCAACCAATAAAAGTTGGAATAGAAAGACTTGGTAGAAGTAATGCTACTCTACTTGACGCAGAAGGTGTAATGATATTCATCTTAGACGATTTGACGGAGAAAAAAAATTTTATAGCTAATAAACTGCTTCAATCTGTGCAGCAGAGAATTGAAGAACGCAGAAATGCCAATTTAATTGGATTACTAAAATTTTTAAACAACCCAATTAGTTATAATCAGGAATCAAATATCAACTCCAAACTACTCTTACCGCCCAAACATGCATTAAAAGCAACAGCAAAAAAAATTTATACCAGGTTGTACATAGAGGATGCTAGCCTTAGTTCATCAAATAATGAAATAGTTGAAGTGAGTCGTGATAATGAAAGCATGGTTTCTGACCCGTCAATACCTCAACCTGTTGCTCCATATTTATTAGGCAAAAGTATTTTGACGCTTGAACAAAAATTGGATGCGACTATTTGTAATGTCAAACAAGTAGAAAAAGCAGCTCTAGAAAACATTAGCAATTTAAAAAACCTCACAAAAGAAATCAAACTTTTTGAGGCAACTGGAAAGCGTAGCGAAAGTTTAGAAAGAATATACTCAACATTAATGACCATCAAGCCGACATCAATTGAATCAGAAAGGGCTTTTTCTGCCGCGGGTCTATTTATGGGAAAAATTCGTTCACGATTAAGTGACAAATCAATTGATTGTTTATGTTTTTTAAAACAATATTTCATTTTAAATAGTAATATAGATTAGCGTGCTAAGATAAATTTGTGTCAGAAACCGCTTGTTATTATATTAAAAATTATGCCGGGAAATCCCGGGATAAATAAGTTACACACCGGGAATCCCGGGATGCTAAATTTACGGGAAATGAGAAACCCTATATCACATACTAGTGGAGAATTTCATTTATTATTAAAAAATGCAGTTTCTCAACTAAACTCATAAATGAGAACTGGAACAAGGGATTGTAAATATTATTTGTAATTTACATTTAACTTTCTTGTAGTAACTGAACTTGGAGCATAAGAAACATTGCTCTTTTGAAAAAAGAAAAATAATTTTAAGTATGTTATCGAATGGAGTTAACATTTCTAAAATTTCGCGTCAACTAGGGTGTTCTAGAAAATAGGTTCAATACTGTTTTAATTGAAAATACAATACTGCTGATGATAAAATTTTAAGAAAAATATTAACCAATATGGACAGCCAAATTGTTAGGATTTTTGAAATAGATCTCTTTTCAACTTCTAATAAAATAAAAACCAAAATTGAAGAACAGTAATACGTAGTTGAGTTAGCCCCAACCTTTCGCCATCGTTCAAAAGAAACCGGTCTTCGAGTCTGTATAACAAAGAAGAAACCCCTTGTTTCAAAACAAAATCAACTAAAGCGGTTAAGGTTTTGCAAAAATGTTTAATAGCTAAAATGCTTCATTTTTTTTTTTGGAAAACGTTTTATGGACTGATGAATCTAAGTTTAATCACTACCAGTCTGATGGGAAAGTATGTGTTAGGTATCCTATGAAGCAAGAAAACAACCCTTTGTATTTTCTAATGACGGTGGGGGTAATTCTAAAGTTTTGGGAATCATGTCCTGGCATGGTATTGGTCCACTGTTCAAAATTGATGGAAACTTAGATCAATACAAACACAAAGATATATTACAAAATGTAATGGAGTTGTATGTTGATGAAACCTACATGTTACTTGGATTTTAATGCACGACAACGACAAAAAACGTATTGCAAGGTCTGTAAAACCTTTGTTTAAGGAAAATAAAAGTTAATGTTCTAGAATGGCCACCCCAAAGTCCCAATCTGAATCCAATCGAGAACTTATGAAACGATATTGGAGTGGCTTTACTAGATAAGCAAACCTTTAATTTTAATGATTTTTTTCTTTTTTAGGGGTAGGGAGAAGGGGATTCAAAAAGTCCGGCTTGCCACAATTGTCAAACTATGTCAAAAGCTTTATAAGAGTATGCCATCAAGATGCGCTAAAGTATTAAAGAATAAGGGTTAACCAATAAAATATTACTTTTAATATTTTGATTTAGACTTTTATACAGCTCTATTTCTATGATCGATATGATGTGATATTGTATTTAGTAAAGATCGATATGATATGATATTGTATTTAGTAAAGCAATAATTATAGTTATATTATATAAAAATAACTTCTTTTTTATATATATATATATATATATATATATATATATATATATATATATATATATATATATATAACTATATATATATATATATATATAACTATATATATATATATATATATATATATATATATATATATATATATATATATATATATATATATATATATATATATACTATTTCTTTATAATTTTAATATATATATATATATATATATATATATATTAAAATTATAAAGAAATAGTTCGAATTCTCGTAAAATATAAGTTTCAAAAAAGTATTCGATTTCAAAGGAACATTAAATACAATAAAAAAGAAAGACGGATAAATGTTAGGAACCTTTAAATGAAGCTTAACACAAGTATTAAAAATATTTCTTGAAGATAATCAGATGTGCTTAATTCTTTAATTGATTATATGAAAGCTTTCGTTTGTTTCTTTCTACAAGCTTTCTATATAATCAATATTTGCTAGTTAACATACCAATAGATTAAAATATGTTTTATTTCAGGCTGTCACAGGAAGCGCGTGCAGGTCGCCACGCATAAAATAATATTTTTAGACTACTTGACCACGGCTGTATGCATAATCCGACAGCTTTAATTTAAAAGCTTTAGAAAAGGTCAAAGTTACAAAGTAAACGTCATTATAAATGCTAAGGTTAGTTTACTACTAAGAAACTCTTATTAAAAAGAGTATACATTTCTTTGTAAAGAAAAAACTTCATTTACTAAACAAAAAATGATTTAAAAAAATGTTTGACAATGCAGTTTATTTAGTTATTAAATTTTATTTAATCGTTTGAAATAATTTGTTATTATTTAAAGCGTTTCGCCTAATATATAAAAAATTTAATTAAAAGTTGCTTTGAAATATCGAAGTTATTTTATAAAAAATACAAACTTTTTAAATAAAATATTCTTTGGTAAATTGGTAAAACATTCTTTGAAGATTTTAATAAATTTATTTAATGTTTATCAAAATGTTTAAACATTTCGATAAACATTAAATAAATTTTTAAAATTAAATAAAGTTTTAAAAAACTTTGAAAACAAATTATTATAGTTGGTACTTATAGTTACAATAAAAAAACTCAACAAAATATCAAAAAAAAGTGTTTTTTAAAGAGGGCTTTCAAAACTTTTTATAATCAACTTCACAATATTTTACCATAAAATTGTCCATAACAACTGCCTAAATAAGACATAAAGTTTTACCAATTAATTATAAAATAAAGGTGATTTTCCCACTCATCCTTTTATCTATGGGAAAGGGAAAAGGAACGGAAAAATAATCACGTGAGCATGCGCAGTTTTCTTTTGGACTAATAAAAACTTTTATTACGCATGCTCACGTGATTATTTTTTCCGTTTCCGTAAAAAAACGGATGAGTGGAAACTCGCCTTAACTTATCTTTTTTTGAAAATTTCGCGAGTTGAAAGTTTCCGGGATATTTTATTCCTAAATAAAACACTCAAGTTGTTATATATTATTTTTACGTATATGACTTTTGCGAAACAACAAAAAGTAGATGTTTTTCTTGTTTTCTGTCTTTTAAGCTTGTGTGTAACTTATAAAATCTTTTTAAGATTACAAACTTTAGTTTGTATTATTTTTGTAGAGTGTTTTAAAGAAACAAAGGTTTTTACGTGTAAAGATTCCATATAAATAATAAAATAAAACTTTAAAAAAGATAAGAAGTTTTGTATATACATAAAAATCTTTATTTCTTTTTTAAAAGTTTTTAAATCCAATTTTTACATGTAAAGATTGCATTAAAATTTTTTTTATAAAAGATACATGTGGTAAATGCATTAGCTACCTAGTGCAGTTTACTGAATATTCAGATCAAATGTGTTTTCTAATGTCATTTTTAGATAAATTCTTATAATCTAACATCTATATATAATTTAACACAGTTAGCTTTGTTAGATTATAAGAAGTTATCTAAAAATGAGGAGTAAATTAAATTAAAAATAAGAAAACACATTTGAGTTGCAAATTATTTTATTATTTTACTGAATAATCAGATCAAATGTGTTTTCTAATGTCATTTTTAGATAAATTAATATTAAGGCCGGCGCAATAAGGGGATGCGGGGGGTGTGACCCCCCCCCCCCCATCAATGATTTTTAGTCGGCAAATTAGACCCTTAGTCGGCAAATTGGACTCTTTTAGACTAGTTAGTCAGCAAATGTCGACCCTTTCGTTATAGGTTAGTCGGTAATCAAGTAATCTAGACAGTCGGCAAGTGTCGTCATGGCAGTCGGCAAATTTTGGAAAACGAGGATCTTTTTTTTTTTTTTAGTCGGCAAAATGTAATGGCACCCCATCTCCACGTGACACCTTCCTGATTATTATAATCTAACATAGCTAGCTATGTTAGATTATAGATAAAACAAGTTAGATAAAACAATTTTACCAACACCAAACTTTTTTCTTTCTTTTTTCTAGCGTGCTCGTTTTTCTAGCGTGCTCGTTTAATTTAGTTAACAAAGTTTCATCAAACACGCCACTTACTACTCAAAATTTGCGCTTGATGTATTTTAATTCCAATTGCAATTCTTCTATCTATTCTCGAACTGCTACTATTTTTTAACAAATATTTTTCACGGAAACTAACTCATTTCTGCATTTGTTATAATCGATGTTTATTATTTTAATAATATTTTGATTAAATAAACTTTTAAGAATTTTTATTTTTTTATTTTTTAATTTTATTATGTTTTATACAGCAATTTTATGCAACAATAAACTGCTCAAGTTTATACATATACATATGCAAACTTTCAAATTACCTAGAAAAAAAAAACTATAGCGTTATATTGTAACAAATAAAGTTATAAAAATATATTTTTATAGATATTTTTAATGCTTTTCATATTATTCCGCATATTCATTTAACTGTTTTTTTGAAGTTATGTGACAGCTTAACTATACCAACAGTGATGGTAATTTCATTTATATTTCTTCGGATTCGTTACAAAGTTATACATTATCTTGGAGTTGCTATGTGCTTGGCTGGCTCAGTATTACTTGTATCTTTTGACAAAAACGACAAAAAAAAGAACGGTAAGACACAAGTTTGCTATATTACTATATAAGATATAGTTAATTGTTTTTAAAACTTAGTTATTTTTACATTTTTTAAGAGTTTTTGATTGGTTTAAACATAATCATAATAATACTTTGATTGGTTTAAAGATAATAATAACAATACTATGTTAAATAAATAACGTTGTTAATTACTACTACGTTTAAAATTAACATTAATTATACAGTTCCACTTAATCAAAAAATTTGTTAAAAATATAAAACTAAAAAATTGTTGGAGTATGCGGCTTTTATTTTTAGTTATTTTTTATTGTAGTTATTTTCTATTGTAGCTTTTTTTTTTTTTTTTTTTTTTTTTTTTTTTGTAGTCATCCAAATAATTTTAGTTTCAGTAGGTTTTTTTAATTTTTTTTCTTAAATATATTTATTCGAATTTAACTGTCTTTTTTACTGTAATTTATTAATTTTTAATGTAATCAATTTTTGTAGTTTGTATTATTTATTTTTTAAAGATATAATAATTGTGTAGTCAAAAGAGGCTCCAATAATTACTTATTTGTTAAAGCCACAATAATCGTTTGATCGGCAAGTTACCACCAATATTCATGTGGTCTGCAAGTTGTAACTGCTATGTAGTCATTAAGGCTGTATCTAAGTTTAATGAAATTAATTGATTGCAAGTAAAAGAATATCTATGATTTGAAAGAACCCTGAGATGTTTCATTTGAGACAAACCTATTGTATCTATTTTTTAGCATGTATTCATCCAGCATGATCATATCTAATTTTATTTGAGCTATTGCTATCCAAAAAATAGTACCTTAACCAGATCTACTTGTCCTAAGTTAAAAAAAAAACAAGATAAAAAGATTTTGAGAAGTTTTTTTTTTTATAAAATAAGCATTTAGTTAAAAATAAAACTAAAAAAATACTAGTTATAAATCTTTCTCCATGGTTACATGTTTGGTCTCAAATAATGAAAAAAGAGATTAATAATTTAAAAAAATTAAAAAGGGAAGCAACTTAATAAATTTCTTCCTAAAAAACACTTACATATAAAACTATATAAAGCAATTGAAGACTTGAAGCTTGAACTTTTTTACTCGAGAGAAAAAGGTTTAGAAACTCAATAAACAAGCGAAAAAAATAGTTTAAATTTTAATCCTTAATTTATTTAGAATTTTAATACAAGAAGCTACAAGCATAAAAATTTGTTGTAAATAGTTTCTTTTACAATTAGATTACTTACAGCCTAAAATGCTTTACCAGAAATAGGTTTTCGCAAAAAAAATAAAAAATTTAAAAAATATTTTCGGAAATATTTAGGATCCAAGCAGGCTAAATTGTTAGGCCAAACGCATTTTGTGTTAATGCGCCACATTTTTTGTAAATTAAAGCAACTGCATTAGATTTGCAGTTGAACCAATAGCAATTTTTTTTAAAGACCCAACGAAGAAATACAATTAATATTGTGTTAACACATGATTGGTAAACGTATTGTTTGTAAAATATTGTTGCATCACAAGTCTAACTAAAATTAGACTTGTGATGCAACAACTACATTACATCGAACAGAATGTTGAAACCAGTAAATAGTAGTAGCAAAATATTTATTGGTTCTGTTGACTAACTAGTTTGACCTTTTGACTGATAAATATTTTTAGTAAAATTTTTTTTGCATAGTAAACAATCAATTCCATATAGATAAAGACAAATGATATGCTAAATTATACCAACAGAGCTAAATGCAATACCAAACTGATAAAAAAATACACGGTTGCCAACTTTAACTTGATAAGCAATCACTTCTAAGACGACCAAATACTTGGTTGCTTGAACGTATAACTACCATTAACAGAAGTAATGAAAGCATTGTAAAAAAGAAAATTTTTTCAAGTAAAAAATTACCTATAAGTATTACCTAAGTACAAATAAGTGTTACCTAAGTACAAATGAGTATTACCTAAGTACAAATAAGTGTTACCTAAAAAAGTACAAGTATAAAAAGTAACAACTAGAAAAGGTATTATTAGCAGTTACATCTTTTAGATTACATTTAATGACAGGTTTTTAATGTACTATTTTTTTTTTTTTAGTTTTTATTGTTTTTGGTCCAGGTTTTCTCCTATTTTAATAAGAGAGTGCTTGATAACTCGCGTAAACAAATTAATTTTTTCTGTAAAAAAAAAAATTATGTAGAAATAGTTCAACCCTTTTTAGATTCCTTCTTTAGCACAATGTTTTGCACTGGTAGATTTTGTTAATTTTTATTTATCTATATCAAACTGTTAAGTTTTTGTAATTCCATTAAATTTTACCAAATAATGTGGTTCTATAACGAATATTTTATGAACTATATAATTACCAAAATTTAATAAAAATATACACTTTCCCATAATAGACAAATATAGGCTTTTAAAAACTTGTTCTAACAAACTTAACAGCTAACATAAAAAAATCTAACCTATTTTTAGAATTAGCCATACTGAACTTATTTTAATGTAATAATGTTTTTTTTAATGCTTTTTATATTTTTTTAGCAACTCATGAGTTAACAGGTGATATAATGGCACTTAGCGGAGCTATACTTTACGGCATAGCAAACGCTGGGCAAGAAGTTCTTGTTAAAGAATTTTCACCGCTAATGTATCTAGGAATGGCTGGAATATATGGGTTCATCATTTCAGCTTTACAAACGTAATTATATATATATATATATATATATATATATATATATATATATATATATATATATATATATATATATATATATATATATATATATATATATATGGGTTTTTTTTTAAATCTTTACTTAATTTCACTTTTTTAAGACCGAGGACCGAGTTCTCATCTCTTTTAAACTTAATGAAATTTTGAAAAATAATAATTTTTTAAAAATAAATGTTTTATTCTAATGTATTTAAATATATCTCTACGCCTAAAAATGTTGAAATTTAATTTAAAATAATAACAATTATTATTATTATTGCAATAATATCAATAAAAGTAATAGTAATAAAAATAGGGAAGACTGAGATTATTTGGAACGTAAGGTTTGTTAAAACGTACTATTTAACGCCACTGAATAAATAATTATAACTCATTTTATACATTGTTAAATAGATTATTCTATGTTCGTACAAGTTACTTATTATGAAAATATCTCTCTGTGAATTATTAAATCAGATAGCATTTTATATTTTTACAACATTTTATGCAATGTTATATGGTGTTTTAAAATAAAAAAGATGATGGCTAATTAGTATCATATTTGTATCACCATATGAAACTTTTTTCAGCTTATTGTAACTATTTTATGACCACTGATAGCTTTTTTTTATGGATTTATTTGAAACATTTTAAATGGGTTTGGTTGGAACGTTTTTAGCATTAGTTTGATGAAGTATGCAGTTGTTATTGTAAACATTTTAGTGACTCAACACCAAGAGGCAATTGGGTTTAATGCTCTGTAAATTCTATTTACAGACTTACAAATTTTAAGCTTAAGTACAAATTCAATAAATGTGAACTTATTTGTAAACTACACATTGATGTATGAAGATATTTACTTATGTCTTATAGATACAAATACTAATAATATTTTTTTATGATACTAACTTGAAATACTTTTGTCTAATAAGTGCGTTTATTATCATTAAACGAATGATATTTTACAGTTTTCTTTTGTGTTTTAACTAACCCTGTTACCGGCTTGTTATAGCAGCTATGGTGCAGTGATAAGAGCTTTTGCTTTAGAGGCAAGAGATGTATAGTACAATAGGAGCTCAAGGCATATTTCGCATTATCGGTAAGGAAAGAGGCGTGAACTTCCTAGTTAAATGCTCTTATACCCCATGAAGACCAAAAGTTCTTGTCTTCTGTGTCAAGAACTTTTGGACTTCATGGGACACCTAAAAAGTCCCGATGACGCAGTTTGTTAGAAAAAATCGTGAAATCATTTTGATCAAGTGTAAGTATTAAACTAGATAAATTTACTCAATTATCATCATTAAATTTTATGTGTCTTAGTATGCATATTTAGGAAATAAAAGAAATTTAAATATTAATGGCAATTTGAACATAGTTTTAAAAAAATACACAATGAACGTTCCAACTAGCTCCGGTCTTCTCTATTAACAATAACAATAATAACAATAACAAAAATATTAATCACAATACTAATAATATTACTGTTAATAATAAAAGTAATAAAAGCTAAACAAATAAGTTGAAATAAGTTTAAACTATTTTTAGATTATATTTTAATGTTAACGAAAAAATGTTAATGTTTATGAAAAGTGCAATAAATGCGTAAAATATTTAATATTCTGTTAAAATATTAGACATATCACGCTGTCAAGTAATATATATATATATATATATATATATATATATATATATATATATATATATATATATATATATATATATATATATATATATATATATATATATATATATTTAAAGAGTTACTTAGAAAAAGTTGAGGGCATCAGCTAAAGACAACTTAGTTGTTGCCCATAAACAACATTTTTTTAATGTCTGCTGGTACCTAAATAATGTGTTCTATATAGTAATATAAAACAAGGTTTAAAATGTTTTTGAATAAAAAATGTTATTAGGGGGCCTCCAAGACTTATAATTATCAAATAAAGTCTCTGGGTATCAAACAAGGCAAAATTACTTCCTGGGTATCAAATGAAGCAAAATGATAAAAGATTTCAAAAATATTTATCTTTTTCAAAAAAAAAGTTTTAGATTTTAGTGCGTAACAAATGACACTTTTTAACTAAAGACAAAAAAAGTTCATTTCCAAAAGATTTTTAATAATTACACAAGCCAACGAAAAAATTTTTTTTTCTGGTGCCGATTAAACAATTAGTTTTTTTTATAGTATTTCTCATATTAATTTCAAATATGCAACTCATATTTCACCATCACCTCAAGTTGTAAAGATATTTGGGTTCAAATCATTAGTAATTGGAGTAAAATCCCTAATATTGTTGAAAAAAAAAGTTATTTAAAAATATATCAACCTGGGTCTCAAAAGAAGCGTTTTTTCATAGAGATTTCGGAAAACGTAAATATTTTTTCTTAAAACTCATTAACAAAAAATTATGGAAAAAAATGCTTAAGACTCTTTGGAAAATTTTTAACGAAATGTTTTTCAGCAATAATACAAACAGTACTTACTTTTATTAAAAACAAATAACATTTTTGAAATCTCTATGAAAATACGATTCTTTTGAGACCCAGGTTGAAATACTTTTGAATAACTTTTTTTTCGACAATATTAGGGACTTTACCCCAAATACTAATGATTTGAACTCAAGTATCTTTACAACCTGACGTGATGGTAAAAAATGAGTTGCATATTTGAAATCAAAATGAGAAATACTATAAAAAAAACTAATTGTTTGATTGGCACCAGAAAAAAATTTTTTTTTGTTGGCCTGTGTTATTTTTCGATATGTTTTTAAATTTTTGGAAATATTTTTATACTAACTTCATTAACAATAAATAAATAAAATTAGTTTTTATTTAAGTTTTTAAATTAGTTTTTCATTTATATCATTTATATAGCTATTTAGTATTTTATCATTTATTTATTTAGTTTTTTTATTGACATTTTTAGAGTAATATTAGAAAGAAACCTTGTCCGAAGCATAGTGTGGTCATATCAAATAAGTATTTTTTTGCGTTATGATTCTTATTTATATTTAAATAAAGTTTAATTATTAAAAAGTTAAATCTGCAAAAAAAAGTAATTTAGTTTAAATAATTTATATATATTTTTTAGCTCTTCTTTTTATTGGCTGTGGTATTTTTCAGTACTTTTACTTTTCAACTATGCCTCACGTGATGAAAATAAGTAACGCAACAGTAGCAAATCTTTCTCTGCTTACAGCAGATCTCTTTACGCTTTTGGTTGGATTGTTTTTGTTTCGATACAAGGCAAGAAATTATAAATTTAAGAAAATTTATTTATTTCTAAGGTATATATATATATATATATATATATATATATATATATATATATATATATATGTAACAGTTGTGTTAAAGTGCATGCTGTTAAGAAAAAATAAATGTTTTAAGAAATGTACTTAAGTTATGGTTTTGCATTTTTCTTAAGAGAAATACAAAACCATATAACAATAATACTAAAAAACAGATAATAAATGCTGCTAAAAACTGCTCTTGACATTCTTTGCAGTAATCAATAACTAGAAATAAGTAGCAATATTTGAAAAAAAGAAAAAAAAGAATTGACCATAATATTCTCGATATTTGTATTAATAATAAAAATATTGAGTATATTTTTTTCACTGTTTTATACATTACATATGTATAAAAATAGCGGAAAAATTTTCTAAATAAATTTTCAGTATCCCAAAATCTGTTTTTATCTCTTTTTTTTTATATATGAAATATCTTAAGTTACCCTACACCATGGTATAACCTTACACATTTTAAGAAAGGAAAACACAAAAGTTATTTAAAATTACTACTTTTTTGACGGTGATAGTGAGAAAAATTATGATGGGCAGATAACGTTGGACATAGGGATGGCGATCCCAGGATCCCGGGATTTCGAACAAATTGTTTATTCCAAAATCCCGGGATTAGTCTCCAAAATTTCCCGGGATTTCGGAATTGACAAAAAAAAGTATTAGTTTGTTTGGTTATGTAACTGTTTATTCTTTTTGAGATGTTTTCCTTTCAAAACATTATTGCTTGTCTACAAAATATGTACGATCAGGGTTATAAAATCCGATATAAGTCTCTTTCTCTCTCTCTGTCTCTCTTTCTCTCTCTCTCTCTCTCTCTCTCTATATATATATATATATATATATGTATATATATATATATATGTATATATATATATATATATATGTATATATATATATATATATATATATATATATATATATATATATATATATATATATATATATATATATATATATATATATATATATATATATATATATATATATATATATATATATATATATATATATATATATATACATATATATATATATATATATATATATATATATATATACATATATATATATATATATATATATATATATATATATATATATATATATATATATATATATATATATATAAATATATATATATATATAAATATATAAATATATATATATACACACATATATATATATATATATATATATATATATATATATATATATATATATATATATATATATATATATATATATATATATAATATATATATATATATATATATATATATATATATATATATATATATATATATATATATATATATATATATATACATATTTAATTTTTCAAATAAATAACTTTGAAGAAAATGATTGAAAAAATGACTTCTATTAGAGTTATTTTTATTTTTATTTCATTTTTATTTCCATTAATTTTAATTTCAAATATGTGCGTGATTTACGAATCTTTTTTTTAAATTAGTTTAATTAATAAAGTTAACAAAAAACAGGTTTATTAAATTACAAAATTTTCTTAGCGTCTGTTCAAGTAATAAAGTCATGCATATTTATATATTTTTCTAATTAATATTTTTACTTATACTGTGTGACGATTTTAAGGTATTGTTTTATAATTTAAAGTACTTAGATTCATTAATTTTTAAAAGTCTCAAAATCAAAATAGATAAGTTTTGATATATAACAAAATTAAGTTAAAACATGTTTGTAACTTAATTTTAGGTTCATTAATGTATTAAATATTTTAGTTATATATCACTAAACTAATCATTTTTAAATGTTTGATGAGTTCTTAAAATTATTCTTATTCGTAACGTTTTTAGTAGCGTTTTTTTCTATTCAATTCCGGGATTTCCCGCGGACAAATTTCTCAATCCCGAAATCCCGGGAATGAAAATTTCCGGGATTTTTGCCATCCCTAGTTAGACAATCGTTATAATTTCTAGAAAGTTATAGTAGACTTTTTTTAAAACTTTGAGTTAACTTTAAAACGAATTTTAGATATAATATAAAATAAATTGAGTATGTTTTATAATTTAAAAAAATAGTATAAAGAAAAATGTGTGATAAATAAAAAAGGAAAAATATTTTAGATCAGTTTATACGTCAATATATATATATATATATATATATATATATATATATATATATATACATATATATATATATATATATATATATATATATGTATATATATATATATATATATATGTATATATATATATATATATATATATATATATATATATATATATATATATATATATATATTTTTTTTTTTTTTCCTTAATAGTTTTCCTACGTTTTCTTTATTGCATTTGGTTTTATCATTGTTGGCCTTGTGGTCTATAACGTTAAACCTGCCCCGGAAGCACAGAAAAGGCAAGAAACATTAAAAAAGAAAGAAACAATTTATTCAACTTTTAATTCTGATAGCCAAAATATCATTTTACACACAAAAGAATTAGTTTGAAGAATCAGCAACTCGTTGTACACTAACACACATCCTTATGAGAATTAGATAAACTTTGAGTTCTAAGTAACTTCAAAAAAATGGGTTCATTTAAATAAAATAATAATAGTTTTAGATTATAACTAATTGCTTTAATGTTATAAAATTGTTTAATTACAATAAAATAACATTTTTAAACAAAAATTGACTCTTTTATCTTTTTTTTTTCTTTGAGGTTTTGCAGCGATAATTTTTATTAATAAAAAATAGTCAATTTTAAAATCTTTATAAAGTTCTATTTATTTTCCGACTCAGGTTAATAAACTTTAAAAAAAATTAACTATTATATGGGAACCAGCGTATAGTGAAAGATAATACGGGGTAACCTTTTTCAAAAGGTATACAAAACCAATAATTTCATATTTACTTTTAAACCAAAGTTAATCTATTTTTCATACAGGTAACAAGGAAAAGTTTTTAACTAATATACATATATTTTTTTAATATATTTCATACTTTTTAATTATTCTTTGAGTTACTTTTATTTACTCATTTATATAAATTTAGTAATTTGATGTAAATATTTTATATCAACTATTCTTTTTAATTATTGCTACATATTTACTATGTATTTATATTATTATTATTTTTAAATGTTTACTTATGCTACATGTTAATATGTAAATAATATTATTTTTATTATTTAAATATGGTATTATATCTTTTTATTTATTTTCAATGTTTAACTTAAAGTTATGTAAATAAAAAAAATGTTTAATTAAAAAACTATTTTTAAAATTAAAACTCATAAACCCATTAAGCCAAAACTTTCAATCAACGTAAGCTGTTTTTGCTGCAAGTAATTCTGTTCTTACTTTTTTGCTGGCATATAAAGTTTATACGGTGACAGTTTCAGCGCAAAATAAAAGTGCTTTTTAAACAAAAAAACAAAATTAACGCAGGCAGATTAATTAAGTTGTTATATTCGCCGATAACGTATATTCCTCAAATATTGCAATTTATATTGCTATAGATAACGTATATTACTCAAATATTGCAACCATATTGCGCAAGAAGTTAACGATGTAATACATTCTTCATACAGTTTAACAAATTTGAAAATTCTATTCTTCATTTTTTTTTAACTTTTTTGAATAAGAACAACAAGTGCAATCAACTAACAAAGAATTGATTAAAAATATTAAAATGTTAGAAAAAAAAGGTCAAAGAATGGCAAT